CTGAATCCAACACCCTGTATTCAAGGTAGTGAATTGGTAAATTAAACTGTCTATTGACAATTTTTTAGGCAAAAATGGAAGATAAATTGATTTTCTTGGATGCTGGTATTCTGTAAGACTGAACATCCCCAGAGATTTCAAATGGAGCCTGTTGTCTTACTAATTTGCACACCATGCTATTTTTTTTTCCTTGATTGAAACCTTAGTAAGGAACTGCTCAAACCTTGGGAGTTGCTAGGCATAACTGAAGGCCAGCATGTGCCAAATATGCCACAGCACGGAGTCTTTAGTTGTTATCCAGCATACTGTGTGTAAGCAATTGGCAAGCCTCTTCTCCCCCTACCTCCCAGGACTTTTGTTATTGAATTGCTACATAGTGTATCTTAGCCTAATTGAACTCATTACTTAAGGGACTACTCTGTCTACACAAGTATTCAGGAAATATTATTCCTGAATAACCATGTGTATATTCTTATGCTGGAACAAGAGTGGGCTAGCTAATAAACCCAGAGAAAATAATGAATAAACATGTGCTAAAAGATGTTCTGGCAGCTTCACAGGATCTGGAAAACCCTCTCAGAAAACCTACAAGGAACAATTCTCTTTTCACACATGAAAGTTGGTAGAAGAAGCCCAGATTTCCAGAAGCATGAGACATGAACTACAAAACCATGTAAGATGGGTCAAATTCCTAATGGAAAGAGAGAAAGATGCTGAAAGGAGTGGTGTCATAGAGTCAATTCTGGTTACTTTAGCTACGTAAAGGCAGGATAGAAGATGCCTCCACCTAAAAGTATATTTTACTCCTCTCCAAAGAAATGTTTGCCCTCGTAGGCTTTGACAGTCTCCTTGAACTGACCATGGCCAGGGCAGGAGGCCAGGAACTGCCCCATCAGCCAGCAACATCTTCATGGGCAGTTTTGACATGGGCTGAGGGACACACTCCCATTCAATATCCAAGCAGGATTGTGGGACCAAAGGCCAATCCTAATATTCCCTTTGGATTTAACCATCCTTTTCCAAGAGAATGAAAGCATTTGAAATTGTATGGAAGCAGCTTCTGCTGGGCCAGGTGGCCTCCAGATTGGGAATGGGTCTGTTACATACAGAAATATAGATATATCTTGATTATCTTACGTTTGTTCCAGTATGTACTGTGACTTGTAACAGAAAAAATTATGGTTAACAAAAAAGACAAGTACCTTGCTCTGATGAAAAAGGGATGATACAGACACTATAGCTATTTGATTTTGCTCATACCAGTGTAAATTAGGAGTGATCTGCAGAAATTAGAATATCTCTGCTCAGTAAAAGAGATTAATCCTTTCACAGACACAATTATCAGGATGTGCTAAGGGTCATTTTCTTTCCTGTTTTGGAGACCTATGGTAAGCTTTAGAAATAATAAAATATTCCAGTTTTTTTTAAGACCATGGAATAGGGATAAACTGGAAATGTGCTTGGGATATTCACACACACTAAAATTGACTAGATGATATTTCTGGTTTCAGGACCTCCTCCACCTTAACAACTGAGCTTGAATAAGTATTTCCTGAGCTGATGAGAAAGTCTAACAAGAAGCTGAACCCAGGGACACGCTGCTCGGCTTCCCCAGCTTCTCTTGACTTCAGATAAATGAATCTTTGAAAAAAAATAAGGCTCATTAGGGAGCTACTAACAATTAGGTAATGTTCATTGTCTAGAAGTATGTTTTTGTTTCCTTACTACGTATATTTTTAAAATCTAGTATCTTAAATTCTTGTATTTTCTGTTGTATTTAATTCTGGTACTGTTTGTCCTTAACATCACTATTGTCATGATATCTATATTGGTTGCTTTTCATGTGGTAAAAGATCTTGTTATTTTTCTCCCATTTAGCACTAGAGATATAAAGGCAGAAAGAAAAAGCTACTTATTGTACTCATTTGAGCTTTACTTCCATCTTGGCATTATATGTGAATTGTTCCACTGAAATAACAGCAAAATTTAATAACTCATTACAATTTACTTGTTGCATAGAAAACATTAGCCACTAAGTAAATGTTACTATGATGCAGGTTTTTGGGAAAAGTAATATGCTGCTATTTTTAAAAAGTATGGAAAACCATGATCAGCCTAAAAACATCTCCAGATATAAAGGAACTAAGAGTGGAACTGGTTATATGTATAAAAAGTCCAAAAGCTGAGGTTAATAAACCTGAACGCTCAATATGTGAGTGTGCAGTAATCCCTGATGGACAAACATTTTAAAATTCTTCCAAGTTTCAGGGTGCTGAATTTCGCTTCATTGTGCAGTATCTTCTACTCACAGAAATGAGAGAAATTAATTGGAATTAGGTGGAGATATAAGTAGTGACAATACGACCTGGCCCCAAAAGTATAAAAGAAATTAATCTCAACATAATACAAAGGTCGATGTGTGAATTGGGCAAATCTAACACTACCTTAAAAGAAAACATGTGAAGAACATGGTCATGTACAGGAAGACAATGAAACCAAAGAAATGAGCATAGCAGAACTACTTTGCAGAAAAGAAAGAGAAGATATATTATCACAGGGGAAACAATGGCAAACTGCTTCCTGAAGATAGTAGGGTTTGGGGAAGAGGTAAGATGTAGGCTGCAGAGACTACCAGGCTCATTTAATCTACCTTCTGTGAGGCTGGAATTGCAGCTATTGCAATCAGATGCTTGATAACATACTAAAAAAAAATTTCTTTCAATGAGTAATACTGGTTGGCATGTGTCATTAGTTTATCTAGGGTAAATTGTGGAGCACTGGGCTGCCCAGTGTAAGGGAAAGTACCACAGACTGGACCAGATTGCTGCCAAATATTGGCATAGGTGTCACATTCAATGACACAAGAAACGTGAGAAACTGTTTCAAGATTTAACTGAATATTCTTTAAGAACATTTCCAAAATGCACAGGAAAATCAATTCTGCTACCCATTAGATGCATTAGCTAATGTCTTAGTATAAAACCCATTGGTTTCAGTAAGCCTGTTTGGAATGGGATAATGGCAGATTAAAACCCAGGTGAAGGACTAAATGTTAACTGTGAAGTGATCTAGAAGGCTATGTTGGGAAAAGTCATTTAATAGAAAATGGGCAGAAGAAAAGGCAAGTCCCAATCAAAAGACCGCAAAACTCTTACCTGAAAAGGTATATTCCCCTGTTTAAGGTATCTGTTCATAACTGTTCTTACAAGGGTTGTTTAAAAAGCAGAAACCTCCTATATCATGCCTATTATTGAGAGTATAAAGTGATAAAAACCTCCTGATGACCACATCCTTTTATGTGCACATTTGCCGCACACAACAGGTAACTGCATATGGCTTTCAGCATAGGTGTTCACTTACACCCTCCACCACCAGCCTATCTTAAATACAATACTTATGTTACTATATCTATAGGTCCCATATTAACTGTGCACTGTAGCAGAAAAAGTGCCAAGTGTTGGACAAAATTGGCTGAGCCACGAGTGAAATTAACACCCGAGAGAGGCTGGTAACCAGAACGAGGTGGTGGAGAGATGTCAGTAATGTGCAGAGAGAAAAGAGACATTCTCTAGGCTAGATTCACCCACCATTACTCACACCTTTACTCCGTGATGCGCCTGAGTGAAATCAGCCAGACTAACATCACTAAAGACAACTTTTACAAAGCTAAACCAAAAACTTTCTGTATAATCAAATAAAACAGTCAAGAGTATCAATAGAATTAACTGAGCTAATATATTTAGCACATGAACAGTTGATAAAGAGGCTGTTCAACACAGTACTGTAAATCAGATACCTGTACAAAATATTAACTATAGTTTACCAATCTGGGAAACAAATTACTTTCTGTTCAGCATCCCAATGATAGTAAGCATTACCTTTGAAATTAAACAATGTTTAAGTTAAATCTGAAATGCGCAACACTTGGAGCAAAATATGCCACACATGGTTTGAAAGAAATTCTAAGCAGCTAAAGAAATTTAAAACATACACTTTTTATAGGTATATAGATATATTATATATTGGTCTATAATAATATATACACACACATGTATTTTAATGTTTAGCTTTAATAGCAAAAAGTACAGTAGAATTCCACTGATAGCAAGATTTGAATCTAGATTATCCACAGAAAATTGGTGCGCTTTTTCTGAAAATCAATACAAGCTCAAAACAAAATGTGATACCAAATAATTCTCTGCCATGACCTAAAACTGATAATCAGTTTGAATACTTAAATAACTGAATTAAACCCTATAGTAATCAAATAGATAGCTGATAATGAAATATCTCCCTTGCAAAATGTTACTGAGTAAAATTTTGTATGAATCCCAGCTAGATGAGTGTACAACATTTAGGGTAAGGCCTTTCAGTTCTGACTGATCTCATATATACTACTGGAGTACAAATAATAAATAATAGCACATATACTGTAAACTCTCTAAAATCAGTGATAATACCAAGCATTTTCCTTCTTTGAAAAATTGTACAAACATAAAACCATTCCTCACAACACCCTCGTGAGGTAGGTACAAAAGTGTTACCCCATCTTACTGATAGGGCAACTCATCCCGATACTACAAGGTGCTAGCTGAAGCTGCAAGGAGAGTTTGGTCCCTGATTCCCAGAGGCCCCAGAAGTATCTCATTCTCAAGCAAAATCTGAGTCTATTTACTGACTTGCCCACATCTTCAAACTATGCCAGTTGGCTTTTGTATTTGTCCCTTTGTCAATTGAGACATTATTCTCCCTTTGAAAAAATAAAATACTATACACTGGTGTTGCAACATGCACAAACATGTATTTTCCTTTTCATAAATCTGCTGATACCTTTAATATCTGCAAAGGGAAGGGATTTCCCTGTAAGTGCCAACCTTGTGTAGCAGAGTCATAGCAAGAGTCTCCCATTCTTCTAAGTAAAAATTACAGCTTCTTTTACTCATTTATGTGAATACACTGATAACTCGTATGATGACATCAAATTGTATATTAAGGGACACAGCTATATTTTTCTTTAGATTCAGCTTTCAGGATCTCCTTTAAAACTGGGATAATCCTGTGGAATGTACTAAAATATATATTTTATGTATAGTTGCCTCTTTTTAAAAATAAAGTCCAGAATGTTTTTGCTTAGACATACTTTAAAATAGACTGTATAGCTAGCCATTGTTTTGATAATAAGTGAAGTAAAGCAAGACATCTGGTCCTGGAAGCAGTCCCTTTTGCACCAGAATAAACCTAGAGTATCTCCGCTGAAGCCCATGGAGCTTCAGTGGTATAAAAGCAGGCACAGTGAAGTTAGGATCAGTATTTCCATCCTCCTGTCCATCTGCAGCTGCCCTAGACCAGCAACACTAACAAACTTCATGCCTTCATCTGGAGGATGGAGTGTGAATGGCATGTTTATTAGCAAATCCTGTGAGCTATGCACATACCTGATCACATCACTGAAGACTTCATCATTCATTATGCTAGTGTTACACAAAGACGTAAAAAACAGGCAGCTCTTTTGACCTCTGCAGAATTAGAGAAAAAGGAAAAAATAAAACACAGTATCTTCCAAACGACAGAGTACATGCAGAGAAGTAAATTAAAGACAACACAAATACAGTACAAATGCAGCTTTTGAAAAACAAAGTATTTGCCAAGAGAGAAAGGACAAAACGGGTAAAGGGACAGAAAATATATTGAGGACTAATATATACAAAATGGAAAAAAATGGATACAAATTTAGTTATGTCAATCATTTGTCATAAATGCTCTCTTTTTAATAACTCATGGGAAAAATTTAATTGAAGAGTTTGAAAGCCTTGCTGGAATTTTCATGTAGTAAAATAACCCCTCAAAAAATCATAACCAGCAATTTTTCTAAACATACAGAATTCCTACATGGTTCTATTTTTAAACATCTGTAATTCAACAGACTTTGACCATTTTTATCTGTGTAGCACATTTTATTACTTCATGTGTTCCTATAATAAAAATAAATAACCCATACATATTTAAAAATAATACCATTCTGCTTTCATCCTGTTTTTGGGGGGGGGAGGAGGGGAAAGCAGGTAATTTTCCTCTCGTGTTTCGAACAGAACCGTAACTATCAGTGCTCCTTTGCTTTCCTCCTCTTTTGCATATCATGTTTTCTCTCAGCAAGGCTCAGGGACGTAGATGCAGGAAGAAAAGCACAAACCTATCACTGCTGTTGAGTCACCTGAGGGAACTCATACCTTCTTTGGGTTCATCTTATAAAACACAGTATCTTCATAACAAGGCCACTGAAAGATGATTAATACAGATTTTTCTCTTTTATTTATCTTTTGTCCGTTTTAAATGCAACAGGCATCCAACATCGGAATATAACAGCTTGAAGGTTACTTGAACATACAACTTTTTTTTGCAGGAGATACTTAATCACATGCCTAACCTTAAGAATGTAAATACTTTCATTTAAATCAACGTGAAAAAATAATTTGGTTAAAGTTAGACATGCTTTGAGAAATTAGGGTCTTGAAAAAAAAGATGAAACAAAATCATAGGTTTAAATGTACAGGTTATGTCATTTGGAATGAACGGATGCGAGTTGTCAATTTTTTTCCTTTTTGTTTTATTTTAGAATTTGAACTGCTCCTGATAAATTTGCTCCCAGATTTTATTGTGCAGTATATTGTGGATATTAGGCAGATGAAAAGGAGGCTTTTTCAGTAGAGAATACACGATAAGTGTTCAGAAAGCAGTTAATTTGAAAGAGTAGTCCTTCCAAAGTCTGTTTTCCCCACTCCAAAATATTTTTTTTTTGTTTTGGTCGTTTTGGTTTTTTTTGTTCTACTGTCTTGCGATAAATGCTCTAACGATTTATTTTCATGGGAAAAGAGGTTTTAATAATTCTATCCCTTTGCACTGTTAATATAAATTAGAAAAACATTTGAATATAAGGTGTCGACCTTATTCTGAGTTTCAGATGCGATGATTAGAAGTCATTGACACCAATCTACCACAAGTGACCTTAGTCTCATATCTTGCTCTGTTATTAGAATAATCAAGGAACGCAATTCAGAAATAATATTACATCCTGCATTTTATTCAATTCCATATGACAAAAATAGTAACCTAGACTAAGACATCCATTTCAATCAGTAGATGTGTCAAGCCAACAAGATTTAATAATAAAAAATATTGGATCTAGGTAACAATTCCCAGCTGTTTCAGGGAGGCTCCTAGCCCTACATGGTATCACAGTATAAAAATAGTGTCTCTCTTCACCATGCAGAGAGGAATGGCCTAACCCTGAATACAAAATGGGGTCAGTCTTACTGTACCATCATCAACCATCTTATTTACAACACTTTACAGATTTTTTCTTTTTTTCCTTTTTTGTTTTTTCTTCTCTTTTTTTTTTCTTTCCTTTTTTTTTTTTTTTAAGTTATACACATCCTTTAGGGAACAGAGATAACACTAGATGGTACCAAATACTAACAAAAAAAAAAAGTCACACCAAAAATTACACAGATAAATAAAAACATTCAATTGCTGAATCCAGCAACATTAAGCCACCTCAGTTTGTTTGTTTTTTGTTTGTTTTTTTTTTTATGCTTGGAAACACCTCTAACCACCCACACACTGTGGCAAAAAATGATGTTATATTGTAGAGGTGTTACAGACACAAAATTTTTCTTATGTAGAGAGATACATATATCTATATATCTCTACCTCATCATTGTAGAAAATGGAGCTGTAGAGTTCATTGTTCATTTCCAATAGAAACAAACAGCTAAGTCTTTGAACCTCTTTTCACTCCATTATGTGATGGCAGAAATAGTCCATCCTCTTACAGTAACGGTTTCTGTTGTATAAGAAAGATTGTCCTATTTTTCAGTATCAACTGAGAAGACCTCACTGTCTGATTCGTTCTTCAGGGGCATAAAACTCCTTGCGCTGTTACCCAGCTACTCATAATGTCCCTCAAGCAATTCTGCTGGACGGAAGTTCATAGTGTCAGCTCCACCATGCTTGTAATGCACAAAAATGAGGTAGTACACAAAACATTTACTGTTCAAGTTTTGATTAAGCCCCAGTCTCCTCAGCATCCCCAGCCTAACTTATGAGTGGAACCATTCCCTTTGTTTACTTGGTGTCATTTCAACAATGCAATCAACATAAAATTATATTTGATTAATCAGAGTACATTGTGCTTTGGAGAAACCTGAAAAGATAATCAGACAGAGTTGGAAATAAATACAGAACATTTGTATGTTACTACTGCTCATGCTGCCTCAAAGTTCTTATTTTGTTCTAATATTATTAGGCAGTTGGTATCTTTCTCATGGTTATGTGTGAAAAAGACAGAAAAGATTACAGTAAAATTAAACCTACACAATGTTCTCCTTCCTCTATCCTAGACTTGTATTAATATCACACTCCTAAGATAACTGTATCAGAATTCTGTCGGAGGCGGTCACGCTTTTAAGTGGGCTTCGTAGAAAAGTTAAAAGAATCATTTCCTTTTAAGAAATGGCAGGCCCCATATTTCCTAAGGATCTGACAGTTCTCTGCAACTTTTCTGCTTAATTAATAGAGATCTCTCATTGTTTGACCTTAGAAAACAAGAAACTGCAACAGGGTCCTCCTCCTTATTCCTTACGTCAAAGTATTATTTATAAAATAGATTACATTTTTGTTCAGTTTCAAATTATAGACAAACCTCCCTAGTACAAAATACTAAAAGTGCAATAGTATAAATTAAGAGTTTGCAACCACATTATACAAACATTACCTTTTTATTGTACAGCTTTTATGACACAAAGTATTTACTCACAACTGTTTATAATGTTGTGAATAATTTATGGTGCTAAGGTTTGTCTGTAACTTGTTTTCCAATCATTGAGCTAAAATCCACACTACAATTTTTTCATTTAATAGAACAACTGTCCACATAGCAGCTACAAATATTTAAATAAAAAAAGGTTTGTTACTGACAGGTACTTGCACATGAAAAGCATGCTATCTTTCCCAATAAAACTTCACAATTTTGCCTGCATTGAAATAAACCACTTATTCATAGTAAAACAGAACTTGCTTAAAAAAAAAAAATCACATAGCCAGATGTATTTTGCAGTACAAAAGCTTCATTTAAGTTTGGGGCTAGTATATTGTCTGTTACCCGCATAATCTTAACATTATAAATACTACAGACAAGGATACTGTAATAATACACAGCATTGGGGTACTAAATCACTTATTTAAGATTAAGATTCCTAAAAACATAGTCCAAGTTTCTAACTAATTTGAACAAAACCAGCAAATAAGTGTGACAGAATGCTGTAATGAAGCCCCCCTTTCTCAGGTAATAGTAAGTTTTGTAAGAAGCGAAGTGGATATAGACTAGCCTCTTTCTGTTTCTAATGAAGTTATCCTGTGACTGGTTTGTTTGTTTTCTGTTAAATTAAAAGGTTTCAAAGTTCTCAGTAACAGTCAAACTCACTGTTGAAAGAAGTACCATGCAGATCTTGCAAGACAACTTTTCAGCAGCCATAGAGTTATGTATTTCTGCTATGGGTAAAACTTTAAAGGGAACCTATGCATTTAGGTCAGGAAACTAATGCTTAACTTCAAAAGCTGTACATGGAACAGGACAAGTGTTGTGTAGAGTAGTGGTCCAACAGTTACTCAGAATGAATGCTTTTAATTTATGCCAATCTCTTTATTATCCTCAATAAATCTGGTGAATGGACGACTGGCTCCCGTTTCAGAACTTGCTTTGTCCAGACTGACAATGGGAGGGCTGCTGCCCGTGCGAGATTTGTCCATGCCACCGGTAAGGTTACTTAGAGGTGGGATGGCGCCTCCGCCTAGACTTACTGGGAGCTGAGGAATGCCTCCGTTCTGTATGACAGAAATCTCATTGTTCTTCATAGCAAGTCCGTTAGTGATAGCTGCAGCATATTGGTTCCAAAAATTGGGGTCAACATTCATGGCCCGAGCTGCCAAATCCTTCTGGAACATCTCGGAGAACTTGAGTGCATCGCCACCAAGCAAAGCCATGGGGTTTTCCACAGAGAGGCGGCGGCCGCGGCGTGCAGGGGCGTTATTCCACATGTGAGTCCCCATGTGCACCTGCAGAGTAAACAGGGACAAGAAGCACCCTCAAGTTAGCACATTCTGAAGAGGTGTCTGGCCTGAAATGATGTTACTTACAGTTGCACTTGCTTTTTAAAAGAAATGCCTTTTAATTCGCATTGAAAACAAATCAATTCCAGTTAAGACACAATTCTAAAGTCCAGTCAGCCCACACAAAGAAAACCCAGTTCCGTAGTAGATTTTCAATGTGCATTTGCTTCTTCTCAGTGAAAACAAACACCGTGCTGCAAGACTAAAGAGTACATAGTCTCTTAGGTTAGACAATTTCACATGCAAGTTGGAAGTCCTCACATGCTGAAGATTACCAAGGGCGTTATTTGTACTAGGAGATGGGTGTTTTTTCCTGCCCTTCCCCTTTTTTTCATCTTGTTCTACTTTAATAGTATTTTATCTCATGTCAGAGGCACAAATTACTTTGCTAAATTTAATATTTTTAAAAAGGACATTTAAAAACATATTCCCCAGGCTGTGTCCTGATGGTTAACCAGCCTGCAGGAATAAGAGCCATCAGTCCCATAGTAAGTTGCTGTCAATCTGTGAGAAACCGCTTTCCAGTCTGCAATGGCTGCAAAGCAGAATAGGAAACAGAAACTGGGGAGGCACCCAAGGAGCTGAGCAAGCTCTCCGTTTCTGGTTTATAGTGAGGTTGTTTTGCATTGATGGTCCGTAAGAACTGCCAGAATGTGTCCATCAGCTGAATGGGTGTGCCATTACATCTGTCAGGAGAACTACAACATGCCTGCATGTACACCTGGAACCAGTTTTAAAGTTCGCATCACTGCACAGCTGCTTTCCAGTCCCTATCGTCAACACAGTGGAAGCATAATGACCACCACTGTACAGCAAGCATTTCCTTGAAGTTCCCTTCTCACTTGTCTTTGGGACAAACACTAGGCATTAAGATCTGCTGAGTTCAAGCGCAGTGCCTTAAACCCCCCTCCCCAAGCTTTTACAGTTTCATGTGGCCTCTTACCTTAAGATTCCCCTTTGTGGTAAAAGCTCTACCACAGATTGTGCAACCAAACGGTTTTTCACCGGTATGGGTGCGCTCGTGTATCTGCAGTGCACTTGCTGAGGAGAAGGTCTTCCCGCACGACTGACAGTTGTGCTGCTTGGGAGTCCGGCGAGGGGGGGGTGCCAGCATAGGGGTGATCCCCGGACTCATCACTGTCTGTGGTGCAGCAGGAACCTGGATTCCAGCTGGAAGCGAGGGAACCTCACCCAAAGAGATCGGCTTGCTGTGACCATTCACTTCCATTTTGATCATGGTAGGTGCTGTACTGGTGACCAGGCTAGGAGTACTTTGGCTGGGACCTAGAGTAAAGTTGGGTTCAAATAACTGAGAAGGCAGCTCTTTTAATTTGTGCGTCAGTAAGTGCTGTTTTAAATTACCCATAGTGGAACACCCACGACTGCAGACTGTACAAACAAATGGACGTTCTTTAGTATGGCTGCGGTAGTGAATTTCCAATGCACTCTTAGAAGCAAAAGGCTTGCCACAGATATTACAAACAGTACGTTTAAACTTACCACGTTCTCTGTTCAGGAACAGCAGACTAAAAGGAGCCTCCTCTTTGATGACCGGTCTTCCTGGGTTGGTGGATGTCAGATCTAATGCGCCTCCATTTTCAGTTGTGGGCAGTGGACTGTCTGGTTTTTCTGTCTTTAGTTGTATTTCTTGTGGCTCTTCCTGGTTACTGAGACCAGGGGACTTTGATCTGAAACTTTCACTATTGCTATTTACAGGAGACAAAGCCTGCATGGAGGAAGAAGATTCTGACATTGCAGGACTGCCTGCACTCTGGCTTTCGAGATCACCAACGGCAGATGAGGAGTCATTGCTCAAATGGTCACTTTCCCCTGATCCATTTTCTATGGATTTTAAACTGGTCAGCTGCTGACAGTTCATGACAGAATCAATCATTTTCATTTGATTCTCCAAAGCAGCAATACTAGAGATCACAGAAGGTGGTGAAGAAGGGCATGACCCAGAGTAAGAGATAAGGGGCTTGGATGAGTCACTAGCTGTGTCCTTTAGTTCTGGGTCCTCTTCCATAGAATTTTCATCAATGTCATCATCGAAGTTGCTCAGTGTGTCAACATTCTTTTCATCATAGGAAAGCTCTGAGTCCATGGCGTCCTGGAAGCCCTCTGGTAGTGGCGTGTTTGGAATTTGCCCACCCATATGCATACGAATGTGCTGCTGAAGAACAACCGCATTTGTAAATTTCTTCTGACAAATGGGACACGAGTGCTGTACTCTAAGTGGTGGCTTCGCTCGATGAACTCCAAAATGTGTTTTTAGATTGCCTTTTGTAGTAAAGGCACGTCCACAAATTTTGCATTTAAATGGTCTTTCTCCTGTA